AAAAAAAAAAAAAAAAAAAAAAAAAAAAAAAAAAAAAAAAAAAAAAAAAAAAAAAAAAAAAAAAAAAAATGCAGCCTCCTCATAACTCCAGAGACTAATTTACTAGGATCTGCATTTTAGCAAAGTACTCTCCTATCACACACACATATTTTGGTGGAATGGTCTTTGCAATACACTTTGAGAAACATTGTATAAATCTTGACTTAGAGAAACAGTACTTTGTTTTAAATAAAAATATTAGAAAAGTATAAACGATCCTAGGTAGCTTCCTACTATAAAGTTGGCATCCCCAAATTCCAAACTGCAGTCTAGTGAAAAAAAAAAAGTATAAACAATCCTAGTAAACAAATGTATTATTGTCCCTTATGCTGTAGACAGTCTAAAGAAAGGGAGAATAAGCCAATTATAAGGACACCTACATTTTTACATGTTACCTCTATTATAGCCAGGCATGTCACCTACATTTGGAGCTTAAGACTTTCAGCTCCTAGATAAGTGCAGGTGTCATATGAAAGTAGCTATTTGTAGGACAGATCATATTCATTCTCTTCGTGGTAACGATGGTATAATTGGTTAATTTATTTTGATTGCGATGGAGATGCTGTTTAGGCTCTGCAGAATTAGCTGGTGTTCATCAGGTCAGCTTTGATGTGTCCTGCCCCTCAGCCTATGCATGTTACAATTGTTTTTGTATCCCTCATTTTCTGCATAGGATAAAACAGGCTGGTATGCTAGTGTAAAGGGGGAGGATTGCTAGCCTTGTGTAGAAAGTCTTTATTTCCAATGCAAACAAATTAAGTTATAAAATTGTGCACAGAGAGACCAGAGAGCTGATAATTGATCTTTATTATACAGAAATGTGAAGGCCATATGCATTAAATGAGAAGGTGTTTGGCAGTGAACATTATGCAGATTCAAACTGAAGACATCTTCGTCTTATTGAGATATAATATAAAAATAAACACTAAGAGTTGCAAGAAAGAACTCAATTCAACTTCTATCCCCCAATCAAGCTAAAACTTTCCACAGGAAAACCTGGTTTCAATTCATGCCGAATTGTTCAAGGAAAAGAAAAAGCTAAATCAGGTAGAGACAAGACATGGACCAACTTTTGCACTATTAGAGAGCCGGACTGAAGCTCTATTCAGCCTCACATTTAGAGTTTGTTTCCTATTACAATTTATATCTCTATTCACCTAAGAGATACCTAAAGGGAAAAACAAAACAAAACAAAATGTGAATTGAGTTGGGGAACTTCTGTGGGCTAGGCAGATTTGGCAGAGGAGATAAATGAATAAATCATTCACTTAATTACTCCTAATCAGGAGGATTTAACGTCAGGTCTGGGTCATCTGTGTTAGCCCTTTGACAGCCTGTTATTCTGTAATGGTCGAGAGGCACTATCCCATTACAGTATAATAAGTGCTTAACATGAGCACAGCTCAATGCCCATCCTCCTTATATCCTCAAATACTGGATTTTATATCAGCATGCTTTCGACACCAAGTTAGCCCTCTAAACAGGATCTTTCTTAATAAAGCTTCTCATTGCCCTCACTACTGAAGTGAAAAACTTATTAGAGATTTGGCCAGAATCTCTGAAACAAGACTGAAACAATTACTGAAACAAGACTGATGACTAGGAGCACATCTATGTATTAAATATACACAAAACTACTCCCAGAACCCTTAAATATAGACAGACTTGATCAATTTACGTAGGAAGCCAAAAATAGGAAAGAAAAAGCTCTGGAGTTCAGATATACTGATATATTCAGCAACTGAAACTTACAATTCCTTCAATCCTTCAATTCAGTCAGAGCAGAGACATCAAAGTAGCTGCAGGGGCAGGTGCAGTGGCTCATGCCAGTCATCTCAGCACTTTGGGAGGCTGAGGTGGAAGAACTGCTTGAGCCCAGGAATTCTAGACCAGCCTGGGCAACAAAGGGAGACCCTGTCTCTAAAAAATAAAAAAAAGGCCGGGCGCGGTGGCTCAAGCCTGTAATCCCAGCACTTTGGGAGGCCGAGGCGGGTGGATCACAAGGTCAAGAGATCAAGACCATCCTGGTCAACATGGTGAAACCCCGT